TGTAAACTACTTTAATAGATATAGAAAAGATTTATATTACTTACAAACAGCAAAATTATTCCTCTTTCAAAAATGGATTATTCAATTAACTATTGATGACTACAGAGCAATTAAAGAAATAGTATAGCATAAAGCTAAAGTAACAGTAGGTAGTATAGGGGTACTAGACTAAATATGCTTAGAACAGCGGTTCCCAACTGTGCTACACTATGTTAAGGATTCATTCCTCATGCACTTCCCAGAGGCTTCTCGACGGCTACAATAAAATAAAATGAATAAAATTTGAATTAAATTAAAAAACGGAGAACAAGAATTAGAATCAAAATAACAAAACTCGAAATTATAATCTGAACCTTGCTAGCTAAATTTCAGACTTCCTGTAACAGACGAGGTTTGATGATTCCTTGGCATGCCATCCTTCATATTTGAGAAGTCAGCCATTCATTCTCGACCCTTCGAGAACTTCTGGAATCCGGTCAAAACTTCTTGTATTTGATTTGTTAAACTTTTGAAGAATTTTATGCGCTGCTAATTTTCAGCATCATGCTGAAATTAAGCTCAAGTAGTATTACGATAAATTATTTTTAATTTATCGTAATACTACTTGAGCTTAATAATTAAATTTTTTAATTTAAAATATAAATTAATTTTATGGGCATTGTTTAAATATCTCCTTACTTTATATTCTCTTCAATCCGGCCTCTCTTCCTACCCCTCTACCGGCCATCTTCCCCCTGCTGTGGTCCCCCCCCCGCTGCTGCCTTTTTAGAATCTTGCTGTGGTTTATACCACAGCAAGTCCCACTGAGTGAGCAATAAAGCTGAAAGTCTTCATGGTGGCACAGCTGCTGACCCAGTGGTCTCCTGTACCACAGCAAGATTCTAAAAAAAGCTTTCCTAGACAAAAACGTTCACATAATAAAACTAGTGTCGCATTAAAGGCCATTAACGGTCGACACTCAGATTAATCCTGTATACCACCACTACTTAAAGTTTTAATAACACATTATCTAATATTCGCTTGAACATAAATAAAATACTCTCGATAGCGACGTGATCAGACCTTGAAATAAAAAAAGTTAACAATTATATATCTGCCACTCGGTTTTCGATAATATTTACCTTTTACCTTATCACTCACAGTTTAAAAAAAACCAGCAAAAATTCTAATTTCACGTGCAAGGTAAATGGGACTGAAAGACCGGAGGAAGAAGAAAAAATATTAAGTAATCAGAGAAAGAAGGAAATGGAATTAAAAAATGAAGTTGAGAGAAAATTTATGTCATCCAAACCGTCTGTATCTTCATCATTAGAGCATAGCACCTAAATGCGTCTCTTTCATAGGGCATCTTGCCTAAATGAAATAAACTGACTCTTCATTCAGAGTAAAGTGAGCGAAAACGTTAAACAAACACACACCTAGATTTTTAAATAGCTTAAGTATCTACGTTAGAGAAGTCATCGAAATCCCAACGTTCAATGTTTATTTACATCCGTCGTTTCTTTTTAGTGGTATGCAAAGAAGAGCTAAAAGCTGGAAAACATACAGGTAGGCAGGTGTAAAAAACAATTCGGTTTTTGTTTTGCATCCCCAAAAATTATTACAGGGTTTATTTTAAAATGTTAGATCATCAAATATTTAGTTATGTCCCATTTCAGACTTTCCCAGATGCGGGTTTTAAAATCATGTCGTTTCAGCCTTTCTTGAATGGGATAGATATGAACGATTTCAAGCCTATTAATTCAAAATATGGCATTGCTGATAACACTTAATATAAATAAAGTAAGATGTTTTTAAAATTTGATTACAATTCAGTATTATTACTTATTATTATCTTGAAACAGGATAATGTCGGTTTTAAAAGAATAATCGTGGCTAAAATATTTTGAGAGTTCCACGTTTTAAAAATTGAAACACTGAAAATTAAAATTCAAACACTGAAACGCAGAAATAAAAGCTTTTGAGCATTTGAATAACATTAAATCCATATTAAAAACATGATGTTCGAAAGAACTTAAAAATCGCCAGTAACACTGCTATTAGCGCACAAGCGGCCGAGCTGTAAAACACACTGAATATTGGTAGCTCGGTCCGGGGTTCGAGATCGGCGAATGGAATGGCTGCTTGGGAGTTTTCGTGTTTTCCTCAGTGTGCAACGTAGATACAAGCCAGTTTCCTTAAAAAGTTCTCCACGGGGCATTCCTCCCTTTCCGTATAGTGCCTAATGGCAGAGCACGTAATTTTAAAAACAATACTGCTATCACAGTTTTTAATAAAACAAATTCATTACTATGCAGATTTTTAAAAATGTGACTTTCATCGAAGAGGAGAATATTAAGCCATATAATAAAAAATGAGGTTTTATAATCATCTGCCAAACGGAGCTAAAAGAGAGAGGATGAAATGGGACATATTTTTCTCAGCCAGAACACCTGCAGAAGAGGAAAGCCTGAAACGGTGCAAAATTTGTTGCTTACTCCAGAAACCCTGAATCGAAAAAGCTTGAAATGGAGCATGACGGAATATTTGCCGTCACAAAAAATATGGTACCAATTATTTATGGTAAAATTTACAAACATAATGCAAATAACGAGGATTACTTCAGTACTTATCTGAAAAAAGCCTTTAGAATTAAATTTCTTACAATTGTCAAGCCATAAGGAAATACAAAAAGAGAAAACATTTCTGTACTCATAAGACTAATGAAGACGCTCACCTTTTTCTTATTTACTCCAAGTCTGAGCAATTTAAATGTCGTTAGACGGTATAGTGGGTAGAGAAGGCCTTCTACGGTACCGAGGGTCCCGGGATCGAATCTCGGCTAAGACTCGGTAAGTTAATATTTGTAAATGTATAATGCCGGCGCTCTAAATATGTGGCAAGATGAAAGTCCTCTCATGTGGATTGGTGGCGGAGAGGTTCCCGGTCCCCTCCGGGTCGCCGCTTTGGCAACCATTGTTCCAGACAACAATTATTAGTCCAAAGGGATTTGAATCCCGAACGACTATTAGTTTCGTTTTGGCATTTTGCGTCGGACGGATAAATGTCGGTTCACTTTTCAAACTGTTGCCATAAAATGTTAGAGTCCTGCATTATATTTGAAGAAATTAAATAATGAAAAATCTGCGTAAATGTATGTATATTTCTCACATTGTCATAAAATAACGGTACATAGAGTCATCGAATTTTGAATAACGTAATCCTCCAACGAATATGAGCATGTGGAAGACCAAATTTGAAATTTGAAATTTGTTTTATGATCGATTTCCTATTTTTTAAAACTTTGACGAATTTTTGATTAACAAACTCAAGGATTTCAAAGCGAGCAATGGCAACGTTGTGCAGAAAAAACAATTTTATCTCCAGCGCGTGAGTCTCTGTATCGGAAATTCTAAAGATATGCTCGTTTTAAAACTATTTTGCGATATTGCTGTTGCACTGGATCTTATGGTTTAAGTGCGAGGAACATGATATTTAATAAAGAAAGGTAACACACAAAATGTTAAAAAACGCCCCTTTGGACGTAATTTAAAATCTGAAACATTTCAGATTTTTTTTTTTTTTTTTTTTTTTTTTTTTTTTAATTTAGTTCCGTCATTTTAACTTTTATTCAGAACATAAGTAGGAAAACATTCAGACAGGAAACTGCATGAAACAGTATAAGAGATAAAGAAACTATTTTGAACAAATGTGGATATTAAAAGTTTTGTAATTCATCTGGATTTTTAGAACAAATAGGCTATTAATCTCGAAACATGATTCTGAGTTGTTTCACTTTTCATTCGGGTCTGTTGCCATTCGGAAAAATGTAAAATATTATTCTTTCATACTTAATCTGTTTGTTATTAATTAAAAATACTAAATTATTTTAAAGCAATAGGTGCAGTTCTTAAGAATATTAATTTTTTACTTTTTTAATCTGGCTGATTTAAATAAAAATGCATTTAATTCGGATACATCTAATTAAAAACGTTAAATATCTTTACAGAATTGCATTACACATTTTCCGCTTCTTAAATACACAAAAGAAATATAACGTTCCTATGTTAGTCTAAATGCATATTCATCTGTTATCGTATAAAATGTTTCCCTATTCCACCTAGGCCACCTCTATCGATAATATCCACTGATAAACCATACTAAACTTTAAAAGAGCCCTTTTGGGAGATCGTTAAAATATACCCTCTTTCAAAATTCAATTTTTTTCCTTCAATTTTCTTTGATTTTCTTGTCACACCAGAAGAGCGGCTAGAAGTTACATTTAACAGTATAAATATAATTTTAAGTGAAGAAACCATTAAAATTATCCAAGAAAGCACGTCCATACATAATATAACTATTCAACAATAAAATAAGAGTAACTATTTTTTGCAGAAATAAATATCATGTTTACAACTTAAAATAAACTTAAATTCAGGCTTAAAATTAAAATCAGTATTTAATTCTATTTTAAATATTACTTCTGACTTCCTTATCTAATGTTTTTCGTTCATAAATTTATAGGATCTACTTCTAAATTATATCTCTACGTATAAATTACAAATTAAAAAATATAAGTGAAGATAAACGTTTCATAATTTTTTAAAACTGAGATAAATTATTCAGCTAATGAGAAGTCTTAAACCAAATTTTAATCATAAGTTATTCGTGTTTCAATAAATAAATCTAGTCCATTTAGCTTAATATCATTTTGTATGCTATTACAATTCCCCTTCTTTCAGGTTCAGTCAAATGACTTCACACATTTTTAGCCTCATTACATTATATGTTTCTCGAACGTAGAAGATTACTAAACAACTCTATAAGGTCATAGTTATTTAAGTTTGTAATGATTTAATTTTCCTCCCAAAGTGGTTTGATATAACTTTGAGAGGGTAAATAAAGCTCATTTGAAATCTTTATTTACCTTAAATAACGAAAATAAATTTGAAAAATATTAATAAGAATATCGAATACAATACATTCTTCTTCCTAGATAAGATATTCCATTGCTGACTTACTTTGTCCCCATGGACTCGATGGCTCAAAAACTCAGTAGGTACTCCTAGGTATCCTTTTTATTGATGAAATTCTAGTAACACACTCAGAAACATATAGATAAGTAAGGTAGAAAGATCACCACCCATACGTGGTGTTTGAGGTGCACTATCAAACAAAGATAACACTCAGAGCTTGACTGCAATCGAAACTTTTCCTTCGAACACAGGGAATTCCAATCTCCAATTATGACAACTCAGGGGGAACACTTCGGAGTTAGTCGTAAAATTCGAGTGACAACACGGTCGGCACTCGACGTTCTCTTCTCTCACGAAGGTCATCCATTTTAACAGGTTGAACCTAATATAGCCGTAGCCGGTAGAGGGCGTCACCTGGTACTATTTTTTTTAACAATTATTTTACTTTGTCGCTTCTGCTTTTCTGTTCCTCTTGTTCTCAGTTGACTGTTGTTGAAGATAAATGTGCTTTGACTTTCGCGGATCGAGCCGTGCGATAAAATTTGACTCGGCGTGTCATGTATAATGTTTTGGAACACGTATCTCTTTGAAATGCTATTTGTTTTTCTAGATTTAATCATTTGAAACAATGAAAGGCACTGCGTACCTAACATTATCTATACAGAATGGATCTCAACTTCTTAGTAACGAAGGTTCATAAGCATGATCTCATTAAAATAGTATTCCCTTATACAGCACATTCTTATTCAGTAAGCACCGCTTAATGTGATCACGTTTTCTGGATAACTTTTAACCCAATGGTAATAGTAAACGATGAGGAAAAAGTGTCCTCCAAAATAGCAACGGAATTTAACTAATTTAAATATAAATGTATCCAGAAATATGCAAATAGGTACTTTCACGCAGCATCTTAATTACGAATAAAGAAAAATTTGTTTATAAACTGTTCACAATGACTTTAATCCCAAAATCCATTTTTATGAACTGTTCTTAACATTTCTGTAATTACCGCTCAGACGGTATAGTGTCTAGGGGAGGTAAACCGCTGAGTTGGCTTCCGACCCAGGTATAGATATATCCATGCAGAAGGGCCCGGGTTCGAATCCCGGAGAAAATATGGTTGTAACTACCCGTCCCTTCAAATAGGAGGCAACGGCGGCCGCCTATTATGTGTTTGCACAATAAAATGATCAGTACGTCTGGCCTTAGGAGTGACCAGTGCTGAATAAACAAATGCGCGCCTCTGAAATGAAAAAAAAAAAAATCTGGAAAACTATTTGAGCTATTTTGGCCCGCTAATGCTTGGGAATCCCCCGTTGAAATATAATATGTCAATATAAAATTTTAAATTAAGCGAGAAAAAGCACATTAGTAGATATTTTCAGGGATTTCATTTCAGAAACAAGGAAAAATTGGGAAAAAAAATCTGCAGAATTTATTTTTCTTCTAAAGGAAAGGAATCTGTACATTACGCCGTCATAATCTAGGCCAATCCAAGGTTGCGTTTTTCGCTTAATTTAAATGGGTGATTCAAATCGAAACCAAACTGTTTGGTGACTTAATTCCTTACTTGGCGACATTTCTCTGTCACTTGTCAATTTTTATACTCTATTTTGACCTTATTATTACTTAATATTTTTATCATATTAACTGAATTGTTGGTCACAATAAGCGAAATATTTTCCACGTTTTCGTATACAAACGAACAAGACTTGGGCAATTCAATCATATTAAGAGGCGCCTATTGGAAAAATTGGGAAAAAAAAGTGGACGGTATAATGGCACATGCCGCCCAGACGGTATAATGGAGGGAATCCTACTGAGAGGAATCCTACTGAGAGCCCAGACGGTATAATGGAGGGAATCCTAGGGAGAAGCCGCATGGGGGAACTTTAAATATATGGCGAGCCGAAAGTCATCTCGCGTGGTTTGGTAGAAAGGGAGAAGGTTCATCCTACCCCTCCCGAGTGCTTTTCCTAAAAATTGGGGTGGAAGTAGAAATCCAATCTCCTTGAGGCTCTGGCACCAATTCTTCCCTGAAATTTATGAACAAGACAACAACAACGACATCGTATTCACATACTTGAAAGAAAGCCTAATTTCTTTTATATTTACTCTCATTGCATTAGTGTAAACAAAGGTATGCGTACATTAATTTTCATCTAATATTGCACAGTGACAACACGTAGCCGAGGGCCTTAGATATGTGGGACATGAGCCAATATTTCAAATATTGTTTACAAGACATTTATTTACCTCGCATGAAAAATATTAGGATTGAAAAAAAGGAACTAATTCAGTGTGATCAAATATTTTTAAAATGTTATCTTCTTGCTTATGCTTTTTTGTAAGAAGATATTCGATAGTAAAAATCTAATGATTCATTAAGTTAATCAAAATAGTTGTATTAAATTATTTAAAATCTGTATCAGGTAATAAAAAGAAGCGTCTTATATTAATAAAAACTTGCACTGTGTTCATAAAAATTATCACATGGACATCCTATGTTTAATGTACTTAAAAGAATTATATCAGTTAATTAGATTAGTAAAATAAACAAAGATTTAAATTATTAAGAAGTACGTTTATTGCTTTACATCACTTTGTTCTTTTAGATAGTTATAAGTATTTATTTATTTTGAAAGATGCCTTAAAAATTTATGTTCTAATGAATGGCAACACTCTCTGAACTGTGTGCGCAATTTTCTCTTTCCTTATTGTTTGCTTTCGTGCTGTAAACGGAAGCATGTCCAACTAGTAGTCGAGAGGTTTGGGGTCGAATCCCGGACATGGCATCAATGATTTTCTCATCATTGCAGTCTCTTAAAAAATATTAAATGACTTTAACTGGCCCTGGAAAAATAATTCGTTATCACCAGGTTTTTTGCAACTTAGCTCCCTCCCTCCATTCGTCCTTTAAGTAAGAAAGAATGTAAGGATTTTTCTCTCCTTTACCTCATGCCTTTGTGATATAAATGAAAGTACGTTCGGCTACCAGTAAAGAGATTCGGAGTTCTTTCTCACCTTTTAAGTCTCGAAAAAATAATAAATGACCTTGCACATAAGAATGATTAACTCCACGTTAATCATTCTTATGTGCAAGAATGATTAACGTGGAGTTAATCATTCATTTTACGTAAGAACGAAACATAAGTTCTTACGTAAAAGAAAGAACTTATGTTTCGCTCAACGGAGATATCTGGCAAGGGTAATAAAACCTAATGAAATGCATCGTAACATAAAAGAACAAAAATTTAAGAAGAGAAGGCTTATTATTAAATTATTTTGGCCTAAGAACGTTTCTAAGTCCAAAATAAATTTTCATTAGAGTTAGGATTAGAATAACCGTTCTTATTTTATTTTAGAATACTGAAATGAGAAGTTTTAATTGACGCCTTGAATTTTCTAATTGAAATAAGTAGTTCTCAATATTATTAAGTGCTGCATTCGAAGTGAACAACGGAAAAAATAAAATTATTATTCGCCCTGTAGATTCATTAGGTTAGTCGAAGCAGGAAAAGTGAAAAATGTGCAACGTCTTCGCGGAGATTTGAAGTCCGAACCCCTCGACTGCTAGCCAGATGTGCTTCCAATTACACTATGAAGGCAGGTGGTAACCAGAGAGTACATATGTTACAACGCTTGTCCATTTCTTCCATAAACGATTACAGACTGGGGTAAATCCTGCACTATAATCTAATCAAATTTTGGACATTGATGACTTATGGGTTACTTTAAGAGCGCTCAGTATCGTTAGAATCTTGTGCACTTATTTTTAAACGTCACTTCTTTTACATTTCTTTGTTTGTGAGGCTGACGTTCAAAATCTCTTTTTACAGTCAAATGAATTGCTTCTTGGTAGATATTCATCTCTTTGCCAACTCTACTTATTGAAATATTGAGATTTTCTTTCTGATAACTTTTCAGTTTCTGTGAGTGGTGTTCCTTTCTTCTTTTTGGCCAGAGCATGCCGAGCCCATGAAATAGTCTGATTTGGCATTTTCAATAGACTTACTATATCGAATTACTTCTTTCCTTGTGCATCCAAACTCTAATGAGGGTTTTGTTCATTAACCATCAGAGTAAAACAGGAAAAAAGACAATAAATTTTCGCAGAACTTGTAATCTGGAACATGGCGATTCTGAGATAATAAAATCCGTTCAAAAATTTGCTCATTCAGTTGGAACTTACGCTTCATTCTGTCATTAAGGCGGGGAGGACTGGTGTTGAGAAAAGGCTCATTAGAAAATATTTTCATTTATTCTTGTAAAATCTCAGTATTTAGCTTATAGCTGCTCAACAAAGAACTTTTCTTATTACAGTGAGAAATTTTCAATTAAAGAAAATTATTTTACAGAGAGGATAAGGATGGATTTTTATCAGCACAATGCTTAACAAACGAATCAGCGAAATGATTAATTGCAGCTAGCACAATGATTAATTACAAACGAAAAAAGTCAATCCAGAAACGTGGCAGATCTAATAAAAATATTAATTCAAAATATTCATGACTATTTGTGAAGTCTTTGTAGGACTACTTAAACATCCTGACTTGGATTTAGTGCCGAAAGGCTTAAGAAAAACTTTCACGTACTACCAATTTATAAGATCAGATTCCGTCTGCACGTAATGTTAGGTTAAAAAACCATAGTTTTACATTTAGAAACACTAAAAATTACTTTTTCATGGAACAAACTGATCAAAAGAAAACATAAAAAAATTAAATGTAGTATCTAATTCTTTACAAAGCATTTCTTTCCAAATTCATAAAATCATTATGAACTAAATTATGTTTCCTGGGAAAAAAATGAAGAAAAAAAATTTTAAATGAAAAGTAATACCGTATATTATAATCAAAACATTTTCTTCCAAATTCATAGAAACGTTACTTTTCCCCCAATGGCGGGCACTTGCCCATAACGGCAACGGCTACTACTAAGGCCAGACGTGGTGGCCATTTTATTGCGGAGGAATCTAATAGGCGGCCACGGTTACCTCCTATGAAGGGACGGACAATTTTACATCCATGCCTTCTGCGGGATTCGAATCTGGGCCCTTCGGCATCGCAGTCAGGCTCCCCTAACTGGGCGGCTCATAAAAGTATTATGAACTGATTTAAATTTCCTGGAACATTCTGATCAAAAGAAAACATTTAAATGTAGTATCTTATTCTTTACACTTAAAACATTTTTTACCAAATTCATAAAACATTATAAACTAAATTATTTTTTCTTGAAACAAACTGATTAAAAGAAAATATTTAAAAATTAAACGTAATACCTTATTCTTTAATCAAAGCATTCCCTTCTAGATT